GACATGACGAGGAGTCTCGAAATGGTCGAGACATAAAGATCGATATATTGGACGACTATGTTCGGACACCAGAATGGTTTCGTGGGGTTTTGGACATATACCGGAGTACCGGGGGGTTACCGAAACCCCCCGGGGAGTTTAATGGGCCAAGATGGGCCTTAGTGGAGAAGAAGAGGGGCAGCTAGGGCAGGCCACGCGCCCCCTCCCCCTCTAGTCCGAATTGGACAAGGAGGGGGGGCGCCCCGCTTTCCTTCCTCTCTCTCCTTCCCTTCCTTCCCCCCTCCTACTCCAACTAGGAAAAGAGGGAGTCCTACTCCCGGTGGGAGTAGGACTCCTCCATGGCACGCCCTCCCCTGGCCGGCCGGCTCCTCCCCCCGGTACTTTATATACAGGGGCACAGGGCACCTCTAGACACAACAATTGATCTCTTAATCTCTTAGCCGTGTGCGGTGCCCCCCTCCACCATATTCCACCTCGATCATATCGTAGCGGTGCTTAGGCGAAGCCCTGCGTCGGTAGCAACATCATCACGTCATCATGCCGTCGTGCTGATGGAACTCTCCCGTGAAGCTCTGCTGGATCGGAGTTCGTGGGACGTCATCGAGCTGAACGTGTGCTGAACTCAGAGGTGCCGTATGTTCGGTACTTGGATCGGTCGGATCGTGAAGACGTACGACTACATCAACCGCATTGTGCTAATGCTTCCACTTTCGGTCTACGAGGGTACATAGACAACACTCTCCCCTCTCGTTGCTATGCATCACCATGATCCTGTTTGTGCGTAGGAATTTTTTTGAAATTACTATGTTCCCCAACATGCAAGTCTAAGAGTATAGCAGCAGAATGTAAAACATTTGCGTATTAAGGTAAATGGAGGAGTTTGGAGGGAGCAAACACAATGTAGACACAGAGATTTTTGGCGTGGTTCCGATAGGTGGTGCTATCGTACATCCACGTTGATGGATACTTCAACCCACGAAGGGTAACGGTTGCGCGAGTCCACGAAGGGCTCCACCCACGAAGGGTCCACGGAGAAGCAACCTTGTCTATCCCACCATGGCCATCGCCCATGAAGGACTTGCCTCACTTGGGTGGATCTTCACGAAGTAGGCGATCTCCTTGCCCTTACAAACTCCTTGGTTCAACTCCACAATCTTGTCGGAGGCTCCCAAGTGACACCTAACCAATCTAGGAGACACCACTCTCCAAAAGGTAATAGATGGTGTGTTGATGACGAACTTCTTGCTCTTGTGCTTCAAATGATAGTCTCCCCAACACTCAACTCTCTCTCAAAGATTTGGATTTGGTGGACAGATAATTTGAGTGGAAAGCAACTTGGGAAGGCTAGAGATCAAGATTCTTATGGTTGGATTGGAATATCTTGGTCTCAACACATGAGTAGGTGGTTCTCTCTCAGAAAAAATGGTAGAAGTGTAGGCACGTTCTGATGGCCTCTCTACGAATGAAGAGTGGGTGGAGGGGCATAAATAGCCTCCACACAAAATCTAACCGTTACACACAATTTACCAAACTCGATGGGATCGAATCATAAAACTCAGTCAGACCGATTAAGTTCAAAATGTGAACGTTAGGCTTTTCGGTGGGACCGAAATGTCAACTTGGTGAGACTGATTTCATTAGGGTTAGGGCATAATGTAATCTCGGTGAGACCGATCACATAAACTCGGTAGGACCGATTTCTGTAATAGGCAAACAGAGAGTTGGTAAGGCAAACTCGGTGGGACCGAATCGCTCATTTCGGTGAGATTGAAACATTACGAAAGGGAAAAGGAGAGTTTGCATTACGAACTTGGTGGGACTGATCGCTCATCTCGGTTGGACCGAAACGTTACGAAGGGAAATAGAGAGTTTGCAATCCCATTTCGGTGAGACCGAGATCCCTATCGGTGAGACCGGAGTGACTAGAGTTTCTGGCAGTGGCTATGTCAAGTGAACTCGGTGGCGCCAGATAAATAATTTCGGTGGGGCCAAGTTTGGCTTTTGGTTTGGGACATATGTGGATATGAGAAAGTGGTTGAGGGCTTTTGGAGCATATCACTAAGCATTTTGAGCAAGCAAGCCATTAAGCAACACCTCATCCCCTTTTAATAGTATTGGCTTTTCCTATGGACTCAATGTGATCTTGGATCACTAAAATGAAAATGTAGAGTCTTGAGCTTGAGCCAATCTGTGTCCTTAGCATCTTGAGGGGTCCACATTTCTAATCCATGACATGCCAATCATTGAACTTTCTGAAACGACCATCTTAAAATAGCATTAGTTCAATGAGCTATATGTTGTTAGGAATTACCAAAACCACCCAGGGATAGTTGCACTTTCAAGTTCCGTCAGCATGATGGTGCGCTGACGGTGATGATGAAGTTACTGGCGCATGGCTTCACCTAAGCACTACGACGATATGACCGAGGTGTGTAACTATGGAGGAGGGCACCGCACACGGCTAAGAGAAGACTTGGTGTGTCTTTGGGGTGCCCTCCTCCCACGTATATAAAGGAGGGGGGAGGCCGGCGGCCAGGGAGGAGGCGTGCCAGGTGTGGGGAGTCCTACTAGGACTCCCTAGTCCTAGTAGGATTCCCTCTCCTTTTCCTTTTCTGGAGTAGCAAAGGGGGAAGAGAGAGAAGGAGTAGGAGAGGGAAAGGGGGGCGCCTCCCCCACCCCTTGTCCAATTCGGATTGGCAAGGGGGGGGGGCGCCACCTCCTGGCCGGCCCTCTCTCTTCTCCACTAAGGCCCATGTTGGCCCATTAACTTCCCTTGGGGTGGTCCGATAACCCCCGGTACTCCAAAACTTATCCGAAACTTCCCGAAACCATTCCGGTGTCCGAATGCAACCTTCCAATATATGAATCTTTACCTCTTGACCATTTCGAGACTCCTCATCATGTCCGTGATCTCATCCGGGACTGCGAACAATCTTCGGTCATCAAATCACATAACTCATAATATAAATCGCCATCGAACGTTAAGCGTGCGGACCCTACGGATTCGAGAACTATGTAGACATGACCGAGACACATCTCTGGTCAATAACCAATAGCGGAACCTGGATGCTCATATTGGCTTCTACATATTCTACGAAGATCTTTATCGGTCAAATCGCATAACATACGTTGTTCCCTTTGTCATCGGCATATTATTTGCCTGAGATTCGATCGTCCATATCATCATACCTAGTTCAATCTCGTTACCGGCAAGTCTCTTTACTCGTTCCGCAATGCATCATCCCGCAACTAACTCATTAGTCACATTGCTTGCAAGGCTTATAGTGATGAGCATTACCGAGAGGGCCCAGAGATACCTCTCCGATACACGGAGTGACAAATCCTAATCTCGATCTATGCCAACTCAACAAACACCATCGGAGACACCTGTAGAGCATCTTTATAATCACCTAGTTACATTGTGACGTTTGATAGCACACAAGGTGTTCCTCCGGTATTCGAGAGTTGCGTAATCTCATAGTCAGAGGAACATGTATAAGTCATGAAGAAAGCAATATCAATAAAACTAAACGATAATTATGCTAAGCTAATGGATGGGTCTTGTCCATCACATCATTCTCTAATGATGTGACCCTGTTCATCAAATGACAACACATGTCTATGGTCAGAAAACTTAATCATCTTTGATTAACGAGCTAGTCAAGTAGAGGCATACTAGGGACACTCTGTTTGTCTATGTATTCACACATGTACTAAGTTTCTGGTTAATACAATTCTAGCATGAATAATAAACATTTATCGTGATATAAGGAAATATAAATAACAACTTTATTATTGCCTCTAGGGCATATTTCCTTCATATGGACCCTCAACTACTGATTGGAGAGCATCGATTGTGCTCCGCGCATCGTTTATACCAACGACTTCATCATACTTGGTGAAGGATGGTTGGCACCTGTCCTTGGCCTGCTCGCGCAGTTGAGTTGCCTGCTTGACCGACATCTCATAGTGGCGTGGGGGACGTGAGATATGGTAAGCGTACTGTGAATTACCACGAGCGTTCTAAGCTCCATGCCCAAAAGTCTGGGATTCATCTAGTGCAGAGGGGAATACATAGTACATCAGACCCCTCCACTGAAAAATTCTTGCTTGAACAGGCCCCTTTAAACTTGCAAAATTTTCATAAAAAATATTCTTTCACCATATCTGGCACATTAGCCGGCATGGGAACGATATGCTTCATAAATTCTTCCCTTTGTGACCAGGTATGTTGCCGAATTTATATAAATGTCCCATCTCATATCTTTCATATCAAATCCTGAACAACCACATCTTGTTTCTCAACAACCCTCTCTAAATCTAGGAAGGTCGTGACCCAGGAGCTGCCTCCAAAATGTTGGAGTTTGGATAATACACTGCTTTCAAGTTTCTAGCCTAAGGAGTCATGATCTTGCAAAACATTTATGCCTGCCTTGCCAAAAAGCTAGATTAAATAATTCAAGATCATGGAAACCAAGATCTCACTTGAATTTTATGTCGTGTTATCACCTCCTAGGACACCCAACACGCTATTCGTTTGCCTTCCTTGCTCCCCATCATAATTTCTTTATCATGAATTTGAAGTTCTCACACAAATCTTTACCAAGTTTAAAACATGTCATTGAATAAATCAAGATAGATGGTGCCATTGATTTGATCAGAATCTTCCGATCGGATGCCCCTTGTAGGTCTAAATTCATCCAATCCAATCTTTTGCCATTATAAACATGACTGTAAACTGTAAAAGAAACTGAGTTTTTTTTTTTGAGACAGTATAATTTTTTTTGAGAAACTTTTGAGACAGTATAAATCACAAACTTAGCCCAGTCCTGCCCACCAGGCAATCTATCCCGTACTCCACTCGCTGTTGGGCCTCAGCCCGCCACGCATCCCACCCGCACGGCCTCGCCCTAGGGTTTCTCCGTCTCTCTCTCTCTCTCTCTCTCTCTCTCTCTCTCTCTCTCTCCCCCGTTTCTCTCCTCCCAATCGAATCGGAATCCATGGAGTCGTCGAGGTCGCGGAAGCGCACGCGTCAAGAGTTGGACAGCACCGGCGACCCGCCGCCGGAGCGGGAGGTGGTAATGATCCTATACTTTGATTATTATGCCTTCGATTAGGGCTCGGGCGTTCGGGTTATCACTAACTTGGATTTGGCCCTGCCGCCGGTGCTGCAGGTAGCAAGGGGTGGCGCGTCGCCGCCTTGGCGGGATGACGACCGCGACGGCCATTACGTGTTTGATCTCGGCGAGAACTTGACCCGTCGGTGTAAGCACCCGCGTCTTAGGCCTGTTGTTATCTCCTAGAGCTATTGTGCACGCATATAAATACTTATTTATGTTAATTTTGAGAAACATGGTGGACAAAGGCTTGCCAATGTGCACATAGTTTAGAAAAAAAAGATGGATAAAGACTTGTTTATGTATACATAATTTGTAACTACTGGTGGTAGGCACTGACAATTACTTGTCCTACTTGTTGTTTTTTAAATGGATAAGGTTCACCTCCACAACGTGCATGAATGATTGGATTGTTTTATCTTGTTGTATAGAACTTTTATTTCTGCTTTGAGCTCAAGGGGATGATGAAGCAAAGTTCCCCTTTAAATTTTCAAATGTTATGTTTATATTAGCATACAAACTCGATTGGCACACGTGCTCCTTTTGACAATAGGTCTAAGTTGAAACTGGGAACACCTTGGTGATGTATTATTGTTTATTGACAATCTCCTTTTTTGCGATGCAGATAAAATCTTGAGCAAAATGGGTGAAGGTTCGGGTTTCCTTCATTATGGTTTCTATTGTAGTTCTCATTTTTTTTGCTATTACTCTAATGTAGAGCGACACGAGTTGGATTTTCATAGGTACTTTTGGCCGAGTTTTGGAATGCTGGGACCGTGAAACACGTGAATATGTTGCAATAAAAGTTGTCCGAAGCATCCGGAAGTACCGGGATGCTGCAATGATTGAGATCGATGTGCTCAATCGCCTTGCAGAAAATGAGAGATACAGATCCCTGTTAGTGTCCCAACAAACATAATCTCTATAACCTTACTCTTAGCTATTTCTTACTTGATGAATGTTCTTTAATGGCCAGCTGTGTCCAAATTCAAAGATGGTTTGACTATCGCAACCATATATGCATTGTAAGTTTGATTTTCTTCTGTTCAGTTATGCAAGTTCTACATGTTGATTCCAAGTGTCAGTTATTACATTCACTTCCATCTCCTATAGCGCATTGAATTCCTGTTTATATGCCTTGTTTGTTAACAGTTAATTTTACTAGCCCTCTCAGTACCTCTTACTCGTGCAAAGTGAGATGCTCATGCTGGTACACATAACATGATAATGTAGTCGTAATAAGATTTGCATGCTTATAAAACAGTTGCTTTTCTTCGCTCTTTCCTCATGAAGATTCCCTGGTATGGAAACAAAATAAAGATAACTTTATTCAATGGATATCAATGGTTTTGTCAGGTATTTGAGAAGCTTGGGCCAAGCTTGTATGATTTTCTAAAGAGAAATAGATACCAACCTTTCCCTGTGGAACTTGTGCGGGAGTTTGGACGACAACTGTTGGAATCTGTAGCATGTGTGTGATTGCTTGATTCTGCATATCCGTTCTTAACAAGTTTGGCAGTTGCAGATTCATTTTTCCCTTGCTTTCAAGTGGCATGCTTGACCATCTTTTCCTTTCTTCTAAAATAGATATGCATGAATTACGCCTTATTCACACTGATCTGAAGCCAGAAAACATACTCCTTGTATCTTCCGAATATATAAAGGTTCCAAGTTCCAAGGTACCTAATCTCGACCAATTTTGTGGTGAGCATCTGCTATTTTGAAATTAGGCATACGGTATTAGCAGTTATCTTGAATGATCACTTGGGGTTGTACAGAAGAATTCACAAGATGAGATACACTTCAAGTGCTTGCCAAAGTCCAGTGCCATAAAGCTGATAGATTTTGGTAGTACTGCCTTTGATAATCAGGAACATAACTCGATTGTTTCTACGAGGCATTACAGGGCACCTGAAATAATCTTAGGTAAATTGGTTGTTCTTCAGGTTTTCTTATGTTTCATCTTGTTTGAGGTGTATGTTTATGTGTTTTTAATTATATGCTTGTAAAGGAAAAAACAAATGTTGTTTATAATCCTAGGAATCCAAGTATGATACATGCCAGTTGATACTCTTGTTTATCTATACATAACAAAACTTATTTAGAATAGAAACTGCTTTGCCATTTCCAGAATAGTGTTGGTTATGTTAGATGTAATCCTTGTGTTATTTACTTAGCTAGGGAGTAGTACTGTAGTAGCCAGGTTGGATCGCAGCTTCTTTAATCGGTAAGTTAGTATATGCAGCTAGTAGTCAATTTGCTTTTTTGCATGCACTGGCAGCTGCTGGACTGCAGGGTCGGTTTAGCACAATGATGGAAGATAAAATGACAGTTCTACAGACATTCAATGATTGATCTTTTAACTTTTAACTACTGGTTGGTTATATAGAATGGTACTGTGCATATCATATGCCAAGATTTTGGGGCATATGACAGTGTTTTATTTTGCTCGATTGTTTCTTTCCTAGGTGTTTTTGTACTTTTGCTTGGTAAGATCTTATAGATGGCCATCCACTTCTGACGATGGAAAAGGGTGTTTCTAAGAGGGGTATATTTACTGGGTTTTATGATATAGATTAGTACTGTTGGTTTGTTACAGTCTAGTTTGGACATGCTCAGTAATTATGCCCTGAAGATTGCATTACATTGAAGGATTGATGTACTAGCTGAACAGATAGTATGGCACATCTTCGTCCTTGCAAAGTGGTCTGTCTAAAAATATATTCAGCTCTATATTTGATGGTTCTGGCCCTAACGAGACTAGTCTTGCATGAATAGTTATACAGTTGGGTATTTATTGGTCTAAATTGTACAGTGCCTTTTATATATGTCAAGCTGAAACCTGCACAATGATCCTCTTATTTTACTGTGCTGAACTCTGTTCTTTCTTTGTTGAATAAGAACTCATCTTTTCTCCTTTTTCCTTGTGGTTAGACCAACTGCTGTAGTAGTTGCTAATGTTTCTACTCCCAGAGGGGAATCGCGAGTTCTGATGTTACTGAATATTCCTTTGGCAGGCTTAGGCTGGAGTTTGCCATGTGATATTTGGAGTGTTGGTTGCATCCTCGTTGAGCTATGCTCGGTTAGATTGCTTGTGATGCCTGTCTTTCCTCTTTTACCTTGATATATGGTCCTAACCCTAAACATTTATAGGGGGAGGCATTATTTCAGACACATGAGAACCTGGAACACCTAGCAATGATGGAGAGGGTTTTGGGACCCGTACCAGAGCACATGATACGGAAGGCTAGGTTCGTATTTATACTGTTAATTTGATAATCATTTTTTAATTTCTCGTTGAGCTATCATTAACAAACAAATTATCTCCATGTGTCCTGGAGGTCCAGGATTACTTTTAGAACCAAACCCTTTTTATTGGGCTTGTTTCTCATGAGAATGGCAGTATCTCCACTTGTATCCTGGAAGTCCAGGGTTTGAGTCAGTATTCTTATAAAAAACCAAAGGGAAATGCTGCCTAAGAACCTAATAATTCCCTTTCCCAGGCCCCCACAACACGTGGGAACTTTTGATGCTGGGATAACCTTTGGCTATATGTTTGAGAGTGATATATATATATATATATATATATATAGGGTCGCGCTATTCGTCACCCTGGGCGATGAATAGTTATTCTTCACCCCCCCTCTATTTTACCATTAATACACCGTAATTTTACGTTCCGTAAGTTTTATCTTATTTTCGACGCAAAAAAGGACCGTAAGAAAATATATAATCGCCGTAAAAAATATTTTATGTTATGTAAAATTGCAAACGTAAAAACATAGTATAAAATACACATAAACTGCAAATTTTCTTGTCTTATGACCTATATTTTTATTTTCTTATGTCAAATTTTACGTAGTGAATCAATAGGAATGTAACTATTTGAATTCGAAACGTAATTTAATTATGAAATGATCGTAAGATTACCTCGGGTGAAGAATAACTTATTCTGCATCCTGGGTGATGAATAGTATATATATATATAGTAACACTATTCATCACCCAGGGTGCAGAATAAGTTATTCTTCACCCAAGGTAATTTTACGATCGTATCATAAATAAATTACGTTTGAAATACAAATAGTTACATTCATATTGATTTACTACATAAAATTTGACATAAGAATACAAAAATATAGGTGATAAGATCAGAAAAAATGCATTTTATGTATATTTTACACTATGTTTTATGTTTGTAATTTTACGTAACATAAATTATTTTTTACGGCGACTATATATTTTCTTACGATCTATTTTTACGTATAAAATAAGACAAAATTTACGGAATGTAAAATTATGGTGCATTGCTATTAAAATAGAGGAGGGTGAAGAATAACTATTCCTCACCCAGGGTGACGAATATGTATATATATATATATATATATATATATATATATATCTTTCTCCTTTGCACTAATTCTTCTGCATCAAATGTTTTGAAGAACTCTGGCACGTCCTACCTGCAAAGAAATATTTCTTTTATTTTTACGTGCAGTCACATTCTTTTTGGCTGTGGTTCCCTAAATTCTACAGTTTATAGTTTTTCACTGGTTTGCTACTCAGAAGTAGTTTGGGGTTGCATCTCTTCTGTTACTGATTTATAGATGTTGCTCGTAAAGGTAAATTTGGCAAGCATCTGCTGGGATGTTTCTCCAGAACATATTAACATGTGGGGATGCCCTCCCAAACATATACTCCCTCTATTCCTCTTTGTAGTGCGCCATTGTGCGTAGCGCTTATACCAAGACGTGACCTGGCACTCTTATTTGGACAAGAATTACCCCTCCGTCTGCTCACTCTGCCACAGCACATGGCTGCCTGCTGCTGCACTCCGTGAACCAGGCGAGGGCTATTGTGGTCCAAAGCAGCTTAGGCGCACTACATTTCGGAATCCAGCCTAAAAGACTATACGCATTAGAATATGGAATGGAGGGAGTATTTTTTTATGTTGTTTCTGCTAATGCCACTTTCTTTAAAAAATATTGAAGAATATACATCATTATGTAAGCTTAAATAGCAACACTTAAGTTAATAATATGCTATTGAGTACTGCATCCAATTCTCTGTTTATTCTTGCATTTAATTTATACTCAGATGTCATTGTATTCCTTGGAATATGCAGTTCATCAGCTCAGAAATATTTTAGGCGAGGGACACGTCTAAATTGGCCTGAAGGTGCTGTTACAAGAGAAAGCATCAGAGCAGTCAGAAAACTACACCGGCTAAAGGTTTTGATTCCCCTGATTATTCCTTTTTAGTTTTATTTGGTCATCCTTTTTTTACCAATTTTCAAAGAACTTGTGCATTTTTTAAGCCAAAGTGGAAAAGCTGCAAAATCTGCAGTATAAGCCCAAACAAACAGGGCCTTAGAGCATCTCCAACAGGCGCTCAAAAAGAGCTCCGCACACTAAAAGTTTATTTTTTTGGGCGCCGGGCAGCTCCAACAGAAGCTGTAGCACTAAAAGTTTTTGGGCGCGCGCTGAAAAACGCTATCGCGCGCAGCATATTTTGGGCGCCGGATTGCGCGTGCTTCACAATTTGCACTGTCTGCTTTTTGGGCGTGCGTTTTTGGGCGCCTGCCAAAGCAAAGTTGGTACCGGCGCATTAAAAGTGCTACAGTGGCGCGCTATAACGTTTATTGGGCGCGAAATTTTTGTGCGGCCGTTGGAGATGCTCTTACATAAGTAACTGCACATGTATAGATAAGTCTTCTTTGGTTCTTCCACTGATTTGAGACTATGTATGGTAGTGCATACTTGTAATTAATTCTAACACAGTTTTTCTTGGGCTCGTTGGAGTGCAAATACAAAAAGTAAATAAGTTCCAGTTATCCAGTCCGTTGGTAATTATATTTTTAGTTGTAATTAATCCAGAATATTTAGGTGCTGTGCTGCTTGCTTGTTGAAGTATTACTTTAATTCACGACTGAGAGAGTGGGGGAATGTAACCTACAATATGGAAATAACTGTATATCTTCAACTTCAGGACTTGGTCGCGAGAAATGCTGACCATTCAAAGGCATCGCTGGCAGACTTGCTATATGGTCTTTTAAGGTTTGAGCCTTCAGAGCGCCTTACTGCCCAAGAAGCTCTAGATCATCCATTCTTCCGAATTCCAGGTCCAACATGACAATTGGAAGATGCTTTGATTCCGCCGCTCGCCAAGAACAATGCCTGGAGAAGCAGCGTGCACAAAACCGAGAGCAGAATGCCTTTGGCTAATCTCTAGCATAAAGATGATATAAGCCGAGCTATGGTGCTTGTGGTGGTGGTGATAAGCTGTTGTTCCAGTCGCTCAGGTGTAATGTACAATAGCATTTTTCCTAGGGAGGTTAGTGTACTGGATGCGACCTGTACATTGTGAAGTTGCGGTGCACCACGGGTTGCCGTCTGAATCCTGGTTTTGTAATCGCACTACAATGATCACTGACCAAGGCAAGGCAGCCGTAAAGGAGGTGCTAGTATTTTGCCTGCCTGTGCTATGTTCTGTTTCTCGAGAAGTGTTTGACAGGGCTGAGAGTCCCTGCAAATTCAGACCATGCTGTTGAAAGTTGAAATTAATTCAAGTTGTATGTTTTTAACTCTTCAAAAAACTGAATTGTTGGAGACTTTGGAAAGCACTGTTCTGGGAATACATTTAGGGTGCTGTTACGCAACATGACTCATGTTGCAGAAATTTTTGCAAGATATTTCTTTTGCAACAGAGTTCCTGTTTCACTTTTTTTCAATAGAGGTCTTGTTGCAGTTTTGTTTTTCTGCAACAAAGGTCTCATTGCAAATTTAATTATTCTGAAACAGAGATCTTGTTATAGTTTTTGCTGCAATGGAGACTTCGCTCTGAAAACTCATCGTAGTGGACATTGAGCAGCGAGCAACAGTCACGTTGGTCGAAAGAAAGAAAGAAAGACCGCTCCCCCAGGACACGCGTGCAATCCGCTGGTAGAAGCAAAGCATTTTTCATACTTTTAAGACAGAAAAAGCAGAGTTAATTCTTTGATTGTTTGTTCGTTGCACTTCGTGGGTCACTTTTTGTCCTGCGCAGAAGGCACATCCATCTCTAAGCTCTTTCCCATTGTCACTCTGTGCTCCCCTGACGGCCTGACTATTAGCAACAGCAGCGACTTATGCATGGGCTAGGAACAAGGAGATGTGGAATGTCGCCAAAATTGTGTTTTGGCCTCGACTCGGCCAGAGCAGAGCTATGCGAAATACCTCATCTTTATCGCGACGGTTCTTCCCTGTTTCTGCTACAACACAGAAACTGACTGCACAAAACGTTTTTCAACAGCAAAGCTGCAAGCAAGATGCTGACTTTGAAAGTTTGGAGATTTGGCCGTCGTGGCCTCGCCGGCGACGACATGTACCCATTACAGACCAGGATTACAGAGAAGGGAAATAATTGGCATCACCGGACGGATAACCACGCGTGCCTCCGCCTCCTCCGCGGCTGTTGGATCTGACTAAGTCGTTGCAATTCACCCCAACGCAACAACTGGTGTGTTGCTGGATCTGGATCTGAAACACCACGAGAGTAGTGGCCAGTCGTACGTGCTCCTCCTCAAGGTGACGCCTCCTCCACCGCCGCTCGCACGCCAGCAGTAGGCCAGCGTGGGTGCCACCGCTGCCACCCACCTCCACCATGAACATCGGCCTCGAGGTGCGCCCGAGCTCAAGCTGCATCCGCCGTCTTGGAGAAGCATCGGCGTCCGCGTCCACCGCGAGGAGCTGCATCCATTGTTGCCCCGCCATCTTGAGGGAGCACTGCCCTTTCTTTTGGGCGCATGGTCACTGCTTGCTGCTCGCTACATCAAATTTCTACAACAAGGTCTCTGTTGCAAAAGAAAAAAAGGTCTCTGTTGCAAAAAAAAAACTATGACAAGACCTCTGTTACAAAACAAATTAAATTTCAGCGAGACCTCTGTTGACAATTTTTTTTTTGCAATAAGACCTCTGCTGCAAAAAACTATAACAATACTTATGGCAAAAATAATCTACAACTTAACCTATGTTGCAAAATTTTCTGCAACATAACCCGTGTTGCGGAAATTTTCTGCAACAGGACATGTGTTGCAGTGGTAGAAGATGACCCTCCATCGTTCAATCCGTCATATCCGACGACTCGCGAGGCGGTTGACCTTTTAAAAAGATCCGCCGGCCACGCGTACCACTTTTATTAAATTTTCAAAAAACTACCATAAATTTGGTTGGCTATTTCAAAAAACCCTAGTCACTGAACGATTAAAATATAAGCCTGATTATGACATGTAGTGCCTGCCCGTCAGGTCCACGTCGAATACGGCTGACGACACGCGTGCTCATAGCCATTAGGGCGCATCCATTCCGACCGGGTCACAGTGACTCGAGCTATCTCATAACCGTAGAATAGGATCCCAATCAAAATAAATACATTTGGTTCAGGCGCTATTAGGCGTCGGCGGTGGCGAAACCAGGCTATGGAGGCGACTCTAGGGGGAGGTGGCACGAGGGGAGATGGTGGAGATTATTCGGAAGTGGATAATTGGATGGGCAGCGGCAGCTTCGCAATGCATCCGCCTCAGCAGCCTACACCTCCGGCGCCGCCACGGCCTGCACCATCGTCGTAGAGGCAACCTACACCAGCTGCACAACCTACGTGTTGGGGAACGCAGTATTTCAAAATTTCTCCTACGATCACGCAAGATCTATCTAGGAGATGCATAACAACGAGAGGGGAGAGTGTGTCTACGTACCCTCGTAGACCGAAAGCGGAAGCATTTAGTAACGCGGTTGATGTAGTCGAACGTCTTCGCGATCCAACCGATCAAGTACCGAATGCACGACACCTCCGTGATCTGCACGGTGACGTCCCTCGTACTCTTGATCCAGCTGAGGCCGAGGGTGAGTTCCGTCAGCACGACGGCGTGTAGACGGTGATGAGGAAGTTACATAAGCAGGGCTTCGCCTAAGCACTACGATAATATGACCGAGGTGTAAAACTGTGGAGGGGGACACCGCACACGGCTAAAGATCAACTCGTGTGTCTATGGGGTGCCCCCTCCCCCGTATATAAAGGAGGGGAGGAGGAGGCCGGCTGGCC